CGCAGTAGAACCTGGTGACCAATTTGATGTAAGAGGCAGAAGAGTGAATGATGATCCTTAGATTGCTAGGAAAGAGGGCCCAGTGGGTTAGCTGTGTTAGTGTGTGGAGACGGGTTAGTGACACCTCCGGATCATCTCCATGCTCAGGGAGCACTTCACCTATGTGTCGGGAGGAATAGCAATAGGAAGCACTTCATTTCCCCACAACTCAGACACCCAGACGGGAGGGCAGAGGACCAAGGCTGAAAGGAGTGGAGAGCCTGAGAGAGATGAGACTGAGGGGAGGTAATGGTGACGCAGGCTAACCAGTTGGTGGGAGAGACCTAGACCCGGGGGGCAGAGAAGGCGGGAGAACTGGAGAGAGGACCTAGCCTAGGAGGAGAGGGAGCAGGCTGAGCAGGAAATGCTCTGGGTAGGAGATGCAGACTCCAAGGAAATATCCAAAAGAAGAGGAGGATTTGGGATTGGAAAAGCTGAGGTTCAGGTGGGAGAGCTGAGGAGGGATAGAACAGGAAAGGTTGAGCCATGGGGTTTCAAGTATGCGGAAAGGAGCGAAGATGTTAGGAAAGGGTCGAAAGGGCACATCCTGGAGTCCCAGGTAGCAGGACGAGGATGGCAGGGGAAGAGCCAAGGAGACAAAGCAGAGATGCTGAGCGGCTCCTGCCTTGCCTGGCCTTACCTGTGCACAGCCAGTTAGCTGCTGCAGCCACAAGCACAGCTCCTCCAGAACTGAGGCCAACAAGCTTTTCCTATAAATGACCATATAATAAGTACTTTTGGCTTTTTGGGCCATATCGTCTCTGTCTCAACTACTCAACTCTGCCTTTGTAGTTCAAGAGCAGCCATAGATGATATGTAAATTAATGGGTCTGGCTGCGTTCCAGTAAAACTTTATTTACAAAAATAGTTGGCAGGCTAGATTTGACCTGTAGGCCACAATTTGCTAATGTTCCCTCTCCCTGCTCTAGAATAGTAAATACAGGAGTAGGAACAGACTTTTGATAGGGTGGCACAGGGAAAATGGTGAACTCAGCTTCATACAGATTTGACTGTGGAACCTTCTGGTAGATTCTTCACAGGCAGTTAGCCTTTTGAGTCTGCAGACTGGGAAAAAATCCAGTTGAGAGAGGGATGGAAGTCATTCATGTGGAAAGGAAGTTTGAAGTAGATGTTTTTGTGGCGCTCCCAAGGCAAGGCCACAAAATGAATTAGAGTAAATTTAGGGCCAAGGACTGAACCCAGAGGATCCAACAGTTAAGGAAGGACCTGTGGATAGAGAAGAAATAACCAGAAAGGTGTGAGGCCTGCCTTTAAAGGAGAGAGACTCATGTCCTGCAAGCTAAGAAAAGAAAGTTTCTAAAAGAACAATGTGGTCATCAATATCAAATAGGTCAGGTAAAACAAGAGCTTCAATGTATGCATTGCATTTGAAAGTAAGGCTGCCATTGGTGAACCAAATGACAAGAATTTAGGCGGAATGACAAGGGAGAAGCCTGAGTGTAGTGGGCTGGGGAGTTAATAGATGGTGAGAATTATAAACAAGAAGTATAAGCCGGGCGCGGTGGCTCACGCCTGTAATTCCAGCACTTTGGGAGGCCGAGGCGGGCGGATCACGAGGTCAGGAGATCGAGACCATCCTAGCTAACACAGTGAAACCCCATCTCTACTAAAAATACAAAAATTAGCTGGGCGTGGTGGCGGGCGCCTGTAGTCCCAGCTACTCGGGAGGCTGAGGCAGGAGAATGGTGTGAACCCAGGAGGCAGCAGAGCTTGTAGTGAGCAGGTATGGCGCCACTGTACTCCAGCCTGGGCCGCAAAGCAAAACTACGTCTCAAAAAAGAAAAAGAAGTATAGGCTCCTTCTTTTCTTTTTTCTTTTCTTTCTTTCGCAGTAGCTAAAAGGGGATTTAAGGTAAGAAGAAGGGTTTTGTTTAGGTTTTTTTTTTAAAACACTGCTGTTTTTGTGGGAGAGGCTGAAGAATATAAACATGTTCAGGGAAGGCACTAATGGAGAAGTTGAAGATAGATAATTGAGATAATAGGTGGAACAGCATTTTGGAGGAGATGGCTGGGAGTTACCTGGAAGCCCAGGAGTTCACTAGACCTGAACAGCAGCTATTTTTTCTTCTTTGCCCTTAGACTGAACAAGAGACCCTTCTGCTGAGTACAGCCTGTGCTCCCACCCAGGAACACCCTCTGCCTAATGACAGCACCTTCCTGGGAAGCATCTTGATAGCAGTGGCAGATGAAGGTTAAAGGCCCTGGGATTTGAGGGTGGGAAATTTGTAACCCTGCTCCCGATATCTTCAGCTGTTGAAGATGTCCACCAGCGGGCTTGTCTGTCTTACCCTGGCTTCCATTATGATAGACCCCTCCCTGGATGACCAGAGGGGCCCTCTCCCATTATTGGTTTTTCTCTTAGAGCCAGATTCAACTCCTGTGCCCTTGCTTGGAAGTGACAAGAGTGCTTTCACCCGAGTAGCATCAATGGTTTCCCTTCAGCCTGCAGGTTAGGAGGGGCTCCAGGGATCCTGCCTCATTTCTAGAAAATCTGGTGGTGATGAGTAAAGACAAAAGCAGTGAGAAGTGCTTTGCTCTAAAAACCTCAATTCTACTTGGGCTCATTTTATTTCTGCCTTCTGGGATCTGTAATGTTCCAGACATTCAAATCCTGTGGGTGGGGAACACGGATAAGAGTTGTGGAAATGATGGCTATACACTCCTCCTTCCTTCCATGGCTGGAAGGCTAGACCTCTATCTGGGACTTTCTCTTTCAGAGACCCCAGGTATGGAGGAGAGCTTGGCAGAAATGAGTATTATGACTATTGAGCTTCAGAGTCTTTGTTCCCTGCTACAAGAGTCTAAAGAAGAAGCCATCAGGACTCTGCAGCGAAAAATGTGAGTGGGATGCAGTTTTGGTGACAGAGGGACAGTGAGACAGCCTCTTATGCCAAGGGTTGAACTGGCCCCTGAGAGGACAAGAATGTTGCTGAATTCTTCCTTTCTTCAGTTGTGAGCTGCAGGCTAGGCTACAAGCCCAGGAAGAACAGCATCAGGAAGCCCAGAAAGCAAAGGAAGCAGACATAGAGAAGCTGAACCAGGCCTTGTGCTTGCGCTACAAGGTGAAGGAGGGACCTAGAAGTGGGGCAATGAAGAACTGGGGCAGCTCTACTGGCCCACTGGGAGCCATTATCTCTCCAGGAATCTGGGTGGTGGGGATTTTCCAACCACTGCCCTAGTTTTGCCCTTCCTGGGGTCAGACATTTCACATTTCAGCTATGGGCTGACCTATCTTCCCAGGCAGACCCAGGAGAGAAGTCAGGAACTCTAGCAGAACTCTCCCAACACTGAAATGTGCCTTGCCTGGCTTGGCCCTGGAGGAAGAATTGGAGTGATATCAATTGGTCTCGTGGGCTGAGCATGGGTCAGGCACTCTCTCCTATCTCCTGGCAACGGCTGTGAAGAGACCAGCTCTCCGTGTGTCTTCTCACCTTCCTTTCCCTCACAGAATGAAAAGGAGCTCCAGGAAGTGATACAGCAGCAGAATGAGAAGATCCTAGAACAGATAGACAAGAGTGGCGAGCTCATAGTATGTTCACCATCATGCCCAGGCCTTTGCTTTCTGTGTTACTGGTCAGCCAGGATCCCAAATATGAGAAATGGTTTACTTTTGTTCACCACACGTTGTCTATCCTTATGTCCTATTGGACACCTCTCCATTCTTATTCCCAGAGCCTTAGAGAGGAGGTGACCCACCTTACCCGCTCACTTCGGCGTGCGGAGACAGAGACCAAAGTGCTCCAGGAGGCCCTGGAAGGCCAGCTGGACTCCAACTGCCAGCCTGTGGCCACCAATTGGATCCAGGAGAAAGTGTGGCTCTCTCAGGAGGTGACTCAGAGTTAACAGAGGAGCTGGACAGCAGGTGGGGACCCCAGGCTGTACCCCTGTTGATCTGGACATATTTCTAGGTGGACAAACTGAGAGTGATGTTCCTGGAGATGAAAAATGAGAAGGAAAAACTCATGATCAAGTTCCAGAGCCATGTAAGAATGTCCATGCCATTCCAGGGCCATTTCCTACCATCATTAGCAAATGCCCTGCCATGTTTCCCCTGTCCTACCAAGCTTGCTCTTTTATGCATAGGACTTATAAAATCTGTTTGCTTTCTAGAGAAATATCCTAGAGGAGAACCTTCGGCGCTCTGACAAGGAGTTAGAAAAACTAGATGACATTGTTCAGCATATTTATAAGGTACAGGCAGGAGGGAGGTGATATAACTAATGTACCTGGTACAAGGCCTGGCCCCAGGAGGTACTAATGAGCACATCTCTCGTTCCCAGCCTTTACTGAGAGCTGGGCCTAAATCACTATTGCAGGCTTCTCTGTGGTGTCTGTTTTCTCCCCTCTAATTCAGCGGCTGCCTCCTGGGGCTGGGAGCCCTGGGCCTTAGGCCTGTGGTCCTGAGCTGCTTTTTCTGCCTCTCTTCCCAGACCCTGCTCTCTATTCCAGAGGTGGTGAGGGGATGCAAAGAGCTACAGGGATTGCTGGAATTTCTGAGCTAAGAAACTGAAGGCCAGAATCTGCTTCACCCCTTTTTACCTGCAATACCCCTTTACCCTAATACCAGGACCAACTGGCATAGAGCCAACTGAGATAAATGCTATTTAAATAAAGTGTATTTAATGTATTTCTCCAAATTTACGGAATCTTACTTTTTGGGTGAAAGGGGGCGGATGATGAAGTCAGGGGAGAGGCAGCCTGGGCCTCCTGCCTGGGTACCCTCCATAGATCCCTCTCCACCTCCTGGTGCATGCAAAGCCAAGGCTGCCTGCCCTTCCTCCCTTCCCCTGCTTTCACCAAAACTCTGGGCACTGGACTGCTTGTTCCCTGGCTCACCGCCTGGAGGAAGCAGAAAGGCTTCATTCTCTTACTTTCCCCAGCGCCCTCGGGGGTACACCCTGGCAAATATGGGGGTGAGGACAGAGAAGCTCAGTTCATTACTTCCTGCCCTGAACTTGGGCACCTTGATGATGCCTCTGCCCCACCTACTCAACCTGTTGTTACTGTTTTGGTGCCTCCTCTTCACCAGACCAAGCTTAATCCCCAACATCCAGCAAGTGCCCGGCACATGGTAAAGGGATAGTGGCAGAAATGGACGCAAGGTCATGGCTAGGCTCCACGAGGTGGGAGGGCAGTCCCTGACAGTCACGGATGTCTGGCGGGGCGCTCACTCCACCTCGCCGCCCCGCCTCTGAGGGCGTGGCCTTGCCCCGGACACCAGTCCTGGGGAGGGGGTGTGGTCAGGGCGGGGCGTGCCAGCCCCACCCCCGGAGGAGTCACGTAGCTCTGCGGCATCCGCAGCCTCATTTACCAGAGGGCGCCAGGGCTGCAGTCGCATTTGTTTGCCGATCAGAACCCGAGGTGTGCTTGTGGCTACGGCTGCTAACTGGCTGCGCACAGGTAAGGCCAGGCGAGGCAGGAGCCACTCAACATTTCCGCTTCGTCTCCTTGGCTCTTCCCCTGCCATCCTCGTCCTGCTACCTGGGACTCCAGGATGTGCCCTTTCGACCCTTTCCTAACATCTTCGCTCCTTTCCGCATACTTGAAACCCCATGGCTCAACCTTTCCTGTTCTATCCCTCCTCAGCTCTCCCACCTGAACCTCAGCTTTTCCAATCCCAAATCCTCCTCTACTTGTTGGATATTTCCTTGGAGTCTGCATCTCCTACCCAGAGCATTTCCTGCTTAGCCTGCTCCCTCTCCTCCTAGGCTAGGTCCTCTCTGCAGTTCTCCTGCCTTCTCTGCCCACTAGTTTAGATCTCTCCCGCTAACTGGTTAGCCTGCGTCACCATTACCTCCCCTCAGTCTCATCTCTCTCTCAGGCTCTCCACTCCTTTCAGCCTTGGTCCTCTGCCCTCCCGTCTGGGTGTCTGAGTTGTGGGGAATTGAAGTCTTCCTATTGCTATCCCTCCCGCCACGCAGGTGAAGTGCTCGCTGGGCACAGAGATGACCCGGAGGTGTCACTAACCCCAGTCTTCACACACTAACGCAGCTGACCCCCTGGGCCCTCTTTCCTACAACACTGCAGCCCCACTGGGGCCAACCTCCGGTACTGGGTGGGAGTAGGCAATAGGCATAGGCAGGCAGGTTTGGCGTACAGAAAAGGAGAAGCTGCAGGAGCCTATGACTGGTATTTGTGCCACTCCTACTCCCTACCTGTTCTTCCAACCTTTTCCTCTAGAAGCTGAGAGAAGAGGGTGGCAGTAAGTACTTTTGCCTCATTCTGAAGCCTTGGAAGTAAGTACACTTTCCCTAGGGGTCCTGTGGAGGATGAGAAAAGGGAAGCTGGAAAAGCCAGGGCTTCTGCCTACCTCAACAAGGGGCTAAGTTCAGTGAAAGAAGGGTTGGCATCCTCGATTGGGCAGCAGATTCATCAGAAGACCTGTGGCTTCAGGGTTGCTCACCTCCCCACCCCCACCCTGCATCTTTCCCCAGGGCTGGGAAGGGTGCCTACCAGGGACAAAAGGAGATGTGGGAACTGGAGCCCTAAGCTTGCTAGCTGTCAGAAGGATTGGTGCTACTTGATGCCCAGGACTCATGCCAAGGACTGCTGCCCTGTTCCCAGCCCCTTGCTTGATGGGGGAGGCCATTTGGCCCATCTGGCCAGGAGAGGCAGCAGAGGAGGTAGTGGGTGAGGTCTGGCTTTTTTATCTTGTCTCCACTCCAGGGAGCTGTCACCATGCCTCACTCGTACCCAGCCCTTTCTGCTGAGCAGAAGAAGGAATTGTCTGACATTGCCCTCCGGATTGTAGCCCCGGGCAAAGGCATTCTGGCTGCGGATGAGTCTGTAGGTAAGTGGACATCTGTAGCCAGGTAGGGTACAGGTGGCTAGGGGACCCTGGGGATGTTCTCACTGCCTTTCTTTGTTTGCCCCCAGGCAGCATGGCCAAGCGGCTGAGCCAAATTGGGGTGGAGAACACAGAGGAGAACCGTCGGCTGTACCGCCAGGTCCTGTTCAGTGCTGATGATCGTGTGAAAAAGTGCATTGGAGGTGTTATTTTCTTTCATGAGACCCTCTACCAGAAAGATGATAATGGTGTTCCCTTCGTCCGAACCATCCAAGATAAGGGCATCGTCGTGGGCATCAAGGTGCAGCCCCTGGCCCTGCTCTGAATGGAAGCTGGGTGTGAAAATAAGCTTGTGTAGGAGGGGTAGCAAGGAGAATCCTGCCTGGATTCGACCCTCTGCTTGTTCTTCCCCTACAGGTTGACAAGGGTGTGGTGCCTCTAGCTGGGACTGATGGAGAAACCACCACTCAAGGTATAGGATGGGTGGGCTTGAGGACCAAAGCAGTGTTAGATGGTTGATGCTGGTAAAAGAGGGGCAGAGTAATGAGGTTAGCACTGTGCTTGCAGGACTGGATGGGCTCTCAGAACGCTGTGCCCAGTATAAGAAGGATGGTGCTGACTTTGCCAAGTGGCGCTGTGTGCTGAAAATCAGTGAGCGCACGCCCTCTGCACTTGCCATTCTGGAGAATGCCAACGTGCTGGCCCGTTATGCCAGTATCTGCCAGCAGGTGTGTGTTGGGAGGGTGGTGAGCTAGATGCCCTGTATGCCTGGTGGGGAGAGAGTTACAGGGCTTTCTTCATCTCCCCTACTGCCCCTCCCAAGCATCTCTGCTCTTGCCTGCAGAATGGCATTGTGCCTATTGTGGAACCTGAAATATTGCCTGATGGAGACCATGACCTCAAACGTTGTCAGTATGTTACAGAGAAGGTGAGTCCACACCTGGGCACACAAACATACTGCAGGGACAGCTCGGCAGGAGTGTGTGTTCCCCAGAGCCCCCAGCTTAGATCCAGGCACACTTTCCCCTAGCACTTTTTCACTTGATCCTGGCACAGGCCTGTGATCTGAGCCTTTACTGAGCCCTCACAGTCTGTGCCCATCTACCCCTAGATAGGGAGCATCAAGCAGTAACCAGTGGGGGCCCAGACCCTTAGTAAACCTCCTCTAATCCCCACCCAGGTCTTGGCTGCTGTGTACAAGGCCCTGAGTGACCATCATGTGTACCTGGAGGGGACCCTGCTCAAGCCCAACATGGTGACCCCTGGCCATGCCTGTCCTATCAAGTATACCCCAGAGGAGATTGCCATGGCAACTGTCACTGCCCTGCGTCGCACTGTGCCCCCAGCTGTCCCAGGTACTACCCAGCTCCCTAACCTGCTCCTATCCCTAAGGCCCATCTTCAGGTCCTTCTTGTGGCCTTCAGGGGTTCCCTATCCTGGAAAAATTGGGAGTGACCAGTCAGTTTGTCTTCTTTCCTCCACACTAGGAGTGACCTTCCTGTCTGGGGGTCAGAGCGAAGAGGAGGCATCACTCAACCTCAATGCCATCAACCGCTGCCCCCTTCCCCGGCCCTGGGCGCTTACCTTCTCCTATGGGCGTGCCCTGCAAGCCTCTGCACTCAATGCCTGGCGAGGGCAACGGGACAATGCTGGGGCTGCCACTGAGGAGTTCATCAAGCGGGCTGAGGTTGGGAGCTACAGTTGGTGGTGGGTGGGGCAGCACCCAGAGGCTATAGCCTGGGCAGGGCTTGGCACCTGCGGGCTGGCTCAGCCTGCTTATTCCATGCTCCCTTTTGCAGGTAAATGGGCTTGCAGCCCAGGGCAAGTATGAAGGCAGTGGAGAAGATGGTGGAGCAGCAGCACAGTCCCTCTACATTGCCAACCATGCCTACTGAGTATCTACTCCATACCACAGCCCTTGGCCCAGCCATCTGCACCCACTTTTGCTTGTAGTCATGGCCAGGGCCAAATAGCTATGCAGAGCAGAGATGCCTTCACCTGGCACCAACCTGGCTTCCTTTCTCTTCTCCCTCCCCCTCTCTCATTGCTGCACCTGGGACCATAGGATGGGAGGATAGGGAGCCCCTCATGACTGAGGGCAGAAGAAATTGCTAGAAGTCAGAGCAGGATGGCTGGGTCTCCCCCTACCTCTGCCAGCTCCCACAAATTTCCCATGATGGGGTAGCTTCTCCTTGGGCTCTCCTTCTTGCTTGCCCTGTCTCCTGGGATCAGAGAGTAGTACAGAAGCCCTGACTCATGCCTTGAGTACATACCATACAGCAAATAAATGGTAGCAAAACATGCTACTTTGCCTGTCTGTTTTACACATCAAATTCCCACCTCCCAGTTTCTGATCTCTGCTAATTCTATCTCTGGGCCCTCTGACTCTGGGGGTGGAGAGGGTAGGATTTGAGTTTTACTCGGCTTCAAGTTTATGGAGGAAGGCACATGCAGTCCCCATCCCCAGCTCAGGCTCTTGCTCTCTTGATGTCCAAGTCTGGAGTGGGGCAATGAGGAAGATTGCAAGTCTTCTAGGGACTGCCACATCAGTGGCACTGGGCTGCAGCTACAGAAGGATGGAGTGAGGCCAGACTGGTAACTCCTGAAGGCAGATTTGTGCAAGGCTTAAAGCAGGGAGGCAGCAGGACAGGCTGGGATAAGAGTGGGTGGGAGAGTCTCTCCCATCTCGCAGTGTTGAGCCCAACTGGGACCTGACACGTTCCACTAGGGGGAGCCACACCAGTAAGCGCTAGCGAGCACCTGGACTCCTGCCCAAAGAGGAAAACCCAGGCTCTGCGGGCTGCCAGGGCTGAGCAGGGCATCTAGGAGGTTGCCAAGGGCTATGGCCCATTCTCATTCGGGGTAGAAGCGGGCACAAAGGGAGCCAATTTGAGGGTCTGGGTAAGGACAGCTCTGGTGAGGCCTCATGCTGAACTTTGATCACTGGGCTGGGTTGTGAGGTAGGCTGAGAACCTGGGTTTAGGCAGATAAAAAGATGAGAGAACAAGCTGCGTGTGCTCTGTGTCAACTGGGGAGGCTACAAATGCTCCATCCTGTGTGGCCTGACATAATAACAGAAATAGCTTGCACATAGCACCAACCATGTTCTAATCACTTTATATGTATTCACACATTTCATACAACTCTATAAAGAAGGTACTATTACTATCATCCCTATTTTAGTAGAGAAAACAGGCGCAGAGAGGCACAGAACGATCTTCTCACGATCACTCACTTTATAAGTGATGAAGCCAGGATTTGAACCGCAGTGATCAGCATCTAGAGTCCAGGCTCATGACTTCAAGATTTTTAAGTGAAGTATCCTGAGTTTTCCAAGTTGGAAATGAATTAAAACGTATTTTAAGATAGCGAGAGAGCCAATTGTGCTAAAACATAGTAGCTTGCTACCTCCGTGTTTGAGGCTTGAGGAGAGGGCACCCCAAGAGGAGCTCTACGATAAGGATAGTAAGACCGTGACAGCTGATGTTTGAGGGCTTTCCATGTGCCAGGCTCCTTACAAGAACGGCCTCATTTATCTAAATATCACCATTTTCAGATGAGACAATTGAGCCTCGGAGCTGCCTGTAGTTGCCCAGCTAATATTTAGGGACTGCAGAGGTCGCGCTCTTGATTGAGGAACTAGGAGTGTGTTCTACAGGGAAGCGGGGGACTTCGTTCCAACAGCGCCGAAACCCGAGCGCCCCATCGGCAGCCCCTCCGCGGCTGCGTGACTTCCTTTTAGACCCCCAGCGAAGCTCCCAGCGGAACCCGCCCACCCCGCCGGCGAGTCTGGAGTAGCGCTCGCGATTGGCCCCGATCACCGCCGCGGTCCCGCCCCATCTTTGCGGAGGTTCCGATTGGGTGAGGCTCACGAAGCTCCGCCCCTCGGTGGCCGGAGCAGCCGGAAGCTAGCATGGCGGTCGCCGGGCCCGCGGCTACAGACCTAGGTGCGGTGGGCTTCGGGTGGGACCCTGCAGCTAGCTGATGGCAAGGGAGGAATAGCAGGGGTGGGGATTGTGGTGTGCGAGAGGTCCCGCGGACGGGGGGCTCGGGGGTCTTTTCAGAAGGGATTCCCTTCAGGCTTGGGCCGGGTCCCTTCGAACGGAGATCCCAATGAACGCGGGCCCGTAGAGGTCGGTGGTTGGGGCTTCTCCGCGTCGGAGATAGGGCCGGTACCCTAGCCCGTTTCCAACGCCTCAGTCGGTTCCCCATGCCCTCAGAGGTGGTCCGTGGCAAGCGCGCCGCCCTCTTCTTCGCTGCGGTGGCCATCGTGCTGGGGCTGCCTCTCTGGTGGAAGACCACGGAGACCTACCGGGCTTCGTTGCCTTACTCCCAGATCAGTGGACTGAATGCCCTGCAGGTGAGACTGCCGTGCAGGAGGGTCGGGGGACAGCCTCCCGGTAAGGTGGAAACTCAGTGATGGCCCTGATGCTCCTTCCTATAGCTCCGCCTCATGGTGCCTGTCACTGTCGTGTTTGCGCGGGAGTCAGTGCCCCTGGACGACCAGGAGAAGCTGCCCTTCACCGTTGTGCATGAAAGAGAGATTCCTCTGAAATGTGAGTTCCTGGGGGTCAGGGCTGCCTTTCACGTGTGAGCTCAGTTCAGAGCTAAGTTGGGTGGGAGGAGCGTGGGTGTACCATAAAGGCAGTTAAAAACTATTAAAAGACCTCTCTGAATGAACAGTCTGTTTGGTCAGAAAAAAACTACTTTCAAATTCACGGTCACTAAATAGCAATTTTACTCATAAGATAGTTAGGCTACCTAATCGGAAGCAGTTGATGCCCATCAGGGTATAGGGGAGGAGGTGGGATGTAGTGGAAAGAACACAGAGTTTGAAATTAAATTGGATTTGCATATAGGCCCTATTTAGTTTATTTGTTTATTAGTTTTTGAGACGGAGCCTCGCTCTGTCGCCCAGGCTGGAGTGCAGTGGTGCCATCTCAGCTCACTGCAACCTCCGCCTCCCGGGTTCAAGCGATTCTCCTGCTTCAGCCACCGGAATAGCTGGGATTACAGGCGCGCGACACCACGCCCAACCAATTTTTGTATTTTTAGTAGAGATGGAGTTTTGCCATGTTGGCCATGCTGCTCTCGAACTCCTGACTTCAGGTGATCCGCCCGCCTCGGCCTCCCAGAGTGTTGGGATTACAGGCATGAGCCACCGTGTCCAGCCCCTATTCAGTTTAACATTGAACACTTTACTGGGGTACTTTTTTTAGGTACCAGGAATTTAGGAATTAGTAAGAAATTGATAATGGTTTCAAGACATTCATAGGGAGGGGAGAAAGATAAAATAAATTACAGTAGAAGTATACAAGAAACAGGGATTGCACTTAATAAAGAGTATTAACCAACTGGGAGGAAAGAAAGGCAGAGAAAGTTTTGAGAGATATAATTCTTAAGTCGGATTTTTAAAGGATGTGTGGGAATTCAGGTTAAATGGGAAAGGGAGGGAGAGAATTTCAGGTAGAGTGAATAGCATGAGATAGTATAAGGATAGCTAATAGTTATTGCTCATTGTGTGCCAGAAACTAGGTGAAGCACTTTATATGTGTTGCCTCATTTAATCCTTTCTAATGATATGATCCCCATTTTATAAATGAAGAAACTGAGGCTTAGAGAATTTAACTTGTCCAAGATCACACAGCTAGTAAGAGATGGAACTGGGATTTAAATCCAGGCCTGACTGATTCCAGTGTTCAAGCTTTTAACCAACAAACTATACTCCTGTGTGAAAGTGTGGAGGGGTGAATCAGCATATTGGGGTACCTATGAGCAGTTTTGCCTAACTGGAATGTGTAGTGAAAGACTGGGAATGACTGGAGATTTGGGCTGAGTCTAGAGCATGAGGCACCTGTGTGCCATTTACTTTTTAGTTCTTTAGCCTTGGTGAAAACATTTTTTTTTTTTTTTTTTCGAGAACGGGTCTCTCTTTGTTGCCCAGGCTGGAGTATGGTGGCACGATCAGGGCCCACTGCAGCCTTGATCTATTGGGCTCAAGCGATCCTCCCACCTCAGCCCACCTGCCTCAGTAGCTGGGACTACAGCCACACACAATCACACCCAGCTGATTTGTTTTGGTATTTTTAGTAGAGACAGGGTTTTGCCATGTTGCCCAGGCTGGTCTCGAGCTCCTGGGCTCAAGTGATCGGCCTCCCAAAGTGCTGGGATTACAAGTGAGAGTCACCACACCTGGCTGGTTAAAACATTTTTTTTTTTTTTTAAATCATATTTTGTATGGTTCAGCCTCTGTACACACACACACTTCTTGTTTTCTTTCTTTTTTTTTTTTTTTTGAGATGGAGTTTCACTCTTGTTGCCCAGGCTGGAGTGCAATGGCACAATCTTGGCTCACTGCAACGTCTGCCTCCTGGGTTCAAACGATTCTCCTACCTCAGCCTCTGGAGTAGCTGGGATTACAGGTGCCTGCCACCACGCCCAGCTAATTTTTTGTATTTTTAGTCGATACAGGGTTTCACCATGTTGGCTAGGCTAGGCTGGTCTCGAACTCCTGACCTCAGGTGATCCATCTGCCTCAGCCTCCCAGAGTGCTGGGATTACAGGTGTGAGCCACCACACACAGCCAAACTTCTTGTTTTCTAAACAAAAATTGGACTATCCCTCACTAGTTTGAAATTTGATTGTTTTCAGTTTATCATGGATTTCTTCATATTTGATGACACAGTGTTCAGTAATATGGGTATAGTGTAAACGTATAGTATAGGCAACGAATTTAAAGGGTGACCAAGAGTATGGAATTTGGGATCAGAGAGCTGGATTCAAGCCTCATTCTGCCACTTATTTGTGTAAATTTGAGTAAGGGAGTAAGGTTGTTAACTTCTCTAAACCTTGGTTTCCTCATCTGTTAGCCAGAAGTAGTAATAGGGTTGTTCATTTATTCAACAAGTATTTATTGTGTACCTATGTCAGATACAGTGCTAGTTACTAGAGATATAGCGAAAAAAACAGACAAGACGACGATAAAAAAGACAAAGCCGGATGTGGTGGCTCACGCCTGTAATCCCAGCACTTTGGGAGGCCAAGGCAGGCAGATCACTTGAGATCAGGAGTTCAAGACCAGCCCGGCTAACATGGTGAAACCCCATCTCTACTAAAAATACAAAAATTAGCCAGGCATGGTGGTGGGTGCCTGTAATCCCAGCTACTTGGGAGGCTGAGGCAGGAGAATCGCTTGAACCTGTGGGGCGGAAGTAGCAGTGAGTCAAGATCCCACCACTGCACTCTAGCCTTGGTGACACAGACTACATCTCAAAAAAAATAAAGAAAAAAAAGAAAAAAGACAAGT